CGCACGTTGCAGGGTCAGAGCAGGGCAGGAGGGGAGAAGAGGAGCTACCATGTGACCCAGCAGTGCCCCTCACTCCTGGATGTTTACTCAAAGAAAACAAAAATACCAAAAAAACTCTGTTATATGTGGAATCTAGGGGAGAAAAACACCCCAAACTGAGAGCAGAGAGCGAGCAGGCGGCGGCCAGAGGTGGGGGTGGGGGCGGGCGAAGCGGGTATAGGAGGGGTCAGAAGAAAAGATACAAACTATTAATTACAAAATAAATGCACGTCCTGGGGATGTCATTCACCACGTGGTGACGGAAGTTAGTAACACCGTAGTGCATAATTGAAAATTGCTAGAGTAAATCTTAGAAGTTCTCATGATAAGAAAAAAAATGCTGTAACTGTGGGCAGTGACAGATGCAGACTAGACTTACTGTGGTGACCATCCTGTAACACACAGACACTGAATCGGTGTTGTACACCTGAAGCTGATACACTGTTGTACATCAATTACACCTCAGGAAAAAAGACAGAAGCGTTTAAGAATGGATTATACTGGGTTCAAACATCTAGCGAGCTCTGTTGCTCATGGTCCAGTGACCCTGCAGCCCCCAAAAAGAAAGGAGGAAGGGAACCGTGCAGATGCGGGCAGGTGCCTGCAGCCAGGTGCAGGCAGAAAGTGGCTCACTAAGCCAGCTTAAACCAGAAATGGGAGAGGGTCCTGGTGGGGCAGGGAGATGCAGGGTCTGAGTGCAGAGCAGGGCCTGGGTCAGTCTCTCTTAAACGAGACCTGGGAGCTGCTCCGACCGTGGGGGTGGTCCCGGCGTGGGCACCTGGGTTGGGCCCCGCACACACGGACCCTGACTGGACAGAGCCCACGCCTGGTAGGGAAGGAGCCGCGCCCCCTGCAAGGGAGAGAACTGGGGACGGGATGGGGGCCTGCCCGGGCCGGGTGTCTCTTTGCCTCTCACACTCTTACACACTCAAATTCTTTTCAACAAGCAGATTGTTCACAGATTCTTACGTTTTCCTCCTAGGTATCAATTATAAAAGTAAAATATAAACATAAATCCTCAAGAAAAACCCAAAAACTACAGCAAAAATGAAGCCTTTCGCTCCATTCCTGCCCCCTCCCGCTCTCCCCTCCAGGGGCACAAATAGTTGCTGTTTTGGTGTTTGTTGTCCCAGAACTTTCCTTACGCTGTTACTTAAATATTTTTACTTGGAAAAACATGTGGTTAGATTCAAGTTTTTTACATAAATGAAAACATGCTTTGCACACTGATGTCCAACTTCTTTACCTTTAACACTAAGAAATATGAGCGGCTGGCATCTGTGACAGCTGAGAGCCCTGGCGTTTGAGGCCGAGTGCCCTCCCCTCCTGGGATCATGTCATCTTTGACTTAACCTTCACCCCCTCTGGCTTTGACTAGTTTCCGTTCATCTGTCAAGACAAACGCTGCTGCTGAGAGCAGCCTTCTGGATTCTTCTTTGTGGGCAAGTATTTTGCTGAGATAAGGCCCAGAGTGGGGTCGGGAAGGACTCGTGTTTACATGTAGGAGTTGCCCGTCTGGCCTCCGGAGCACCACTACCAGTGGGCTACAGGAATTTCTGTTCACAGCCAGCTTTCCACCTGGATAACCAGGAAACTAACTTTTGCACATCTAATGGCAAACACGCACTTCATTTAATTTTATTCTCATTTCCTGATTACTAGCGAGATCGACTGTAGTCCACGGGTTTGCTTGGACACCGCCTGTCCCTGTCTTTGCCCCATTTTTGCTGGCTCCTTTGACTTTCTTAAGGATCTGCAGTGCCTTCTGTACCTGAGATCTTCACCGTTTTGTGCGGGCTGGCTGTGCACGGGTTTCCCCGCCTGTCTTGCTCTGTAGAATGTGAGTCTCCCCTTGGCCTGAGGAGCTGGCCGAGGCCCCGAGATGGACGGAACGTGTCAGAACATGTGCTCAGACCTCAGATCAAATTGAGACCGATCACTCCAGCAGAGAATGACTCAAAATTCAGAGGCAACCCTGTGACAGGGGACATCAGGGCCCTGCATGTCACTGGCTCCAGGTCAGTCTGCAGAGTCCCTGACAGCAGTTCCACTGCCTCAGTTCCCACCCACTGCACCCACGTGTGTACACACACACACCACCCATGCATACACGGACACACGTGCACAAACTCTTTTCAAGTCTCAGACCAAGGATGACAACATAAGACTTGACTGATATCCAAAATACCTTTATGTACGTATAAACAAGTTAAACTTCCCGTGACTTAAAGATTTCTAAGGGCCCTGGGACAATTGTTGGGAACAGCGTTCGAATCCCGGGGAAGCGGCGGTGTGGCTGAACGCAGAGACAGGACCGAAAGCACCACGAGGAAGGTCTCTGTGCGGAGCCTGCTCTGACGCGGCGGGATCAGGCCAGGTTTCTCTCCATCCTGTTAAGTCCTCTACCCCAGCAAACACAGCTCCTACAGGAGGCAAAAGGGGCGCCCCCCAGGTGGGGCTCTGGCCTGACTGGCCCTGGGGCTGCAAGAGGTGAGGTGCCAGCGGCAGGCCAGCAGATCTGAGTCCACAGGAGGTTTACATTTATTTTTCTTTCCATGAGGCGACACCACCTCCCAAGGCAGGGGCACGACTCTGCACGGGGCTTGGCAGTCCGGGGAGCTACATCTGTCTCTGCTTGTGCTTCGGGTTGGTCTTGCAGTAGACGAACCAGCGCCCGCGCCTCTTCACCAGGTAGCAGTCCCTGCAGCGCTTCTTGAGGACGCCCTTGGTCTTGAAGCCCAGAGCGGGCTGCAGGCCCAGCACCAGGCGGGCGGACA